GCCGCCGCCGCCGCCGCCGCCGCCGCCGCCGCCGCCGCCGCCGCCGCCGCCGCCGCCGCCAGCAGGGGCCCGACCGGAAGTGACGTCACCACCTGCGCAGGCGCAGGGAGCGTGAGGGCCACGTGACGGCCGGCGCGCGCAGCAGGCGGGGGCGGGGCCCGAGGCTGGGGAGTTGCTGTGCGGGCGCGCCGGGTATTCCCCGGCCGCGGTGCGGCGGGTTAGGTCGCGCGGGGGCTGCGGGGTGTGAGGCAGGGGGCGGCGTTGTCTGGGGCTGCGGAGCCGCGGGGAGCGCAGCCGAGCGGCTGGGGCGGCGGCGTCCGGGGGGCCCGGGGCTGGCGCGCGGTCAGACAGCTCGGAGCCCGGAGCCCCGAGACTCTGGCCGCCTGCGTTGGCGCCGACGCCCTGACCCACAAGCCGGTGTGGACGGCAGGGCCCGCTGACCGCCGGGAGCGCGGGAGCTGGGGCCCGTTCCCAGTAACCAGGCTACCACCAGGGGCTAGCGAATGACGTTTATTGAAAAAGTAAAAAGAATCCCAATAAAAAATTCACCTGCAGAAAAAGCCAGGCCAGAAAGGGGGGTGCCCAGGTACCGGGGTCCCACCGGCGGGCAGTTCCGAGCACTTGGGGGGTGGGCGCCCGACTTCTCCAGGCAGGGCCCGAGCCCTGGGGGCGGGGCGGGAGGTGCTCAGTCCATCGTGGTCCCCTTGAAGAGCTCCACCAGGTCCTTGAAGTCCGGGTCGATGAGGTCCGACGGCAGGTCTCCGTCGTCGTTGGCAGCGTCTCTGTCTGCCCCCAGCGAGATGAGGTACCTGAGGAGCCAGGGCGGCAGTGGGGAGGTGGCCGAGGGCGCTCTGACCCCACCCCGGGCCGCGGGCTGCCGCTGACACACACCCTTGTAGGGTTTCTGCAGGAGGGGCGCAGAGGAGGGAATCTGACCCTGCGGAAACAACTGTCCAGCCCGCCGGGAAGACAGCAGAAAGGAGGTTCCAGGAGCTCGTGGGGTTCTCAGCTGGACCTGGGCCACCCAGACCACATCCGGGAGGCTCCTTGATGCCAGAGCGGTGGGGACGGAGCCCGCCGCCAGACCCCTCACCTGGCTATGTCCGGGTATCCGTCGCTGCACGCGATGTGCAGAGGCGTCCAGCCGGTCTCGTCCCGCTGGTGGATGTCAGCCCCGTACTTGACCAGCAGCTTCACACACTCCAGGTTCCCGGAGAGCACAGCCTCGTGCAGGGCGGCCAGGCCTGCACAGGGCACGGCCAGGCAGCAGGGGTCAGGGCGGAGCCTTCCCCGATACCGCACAGACCGCGTGCAAGGCCACACAGGCACTCACCTGAGGGGTGGATGGTGTCCAGGGCGACCTTCCGAGCCCGGATGAAGCGCCCCACCTGCTCCAGGTCCCCTTGGCGGATGTGGTCCAAGAACAGGACGTCGTTAGGGAAGCGCACGCTGCGGTCGGCCAGCAGCCGCCTGCGCCGCTGCCGGGGGCTGTACCGGGCATAGCGGCTGGTCCTGCTGGGCATCCTGGGTGCTGTGGCGGGCCCGCCGTGTGGGGACCCTGCTGCTCGGGGAAGGGACGTGTCCGGCCGGGATCACACCGCGCATGCAGTCTCCTCCGCCGCTGCCGCCGCTGCGCTCCTGGGCCGCCCGGCGCCTCCGTCTTATATAGGACCGTGGCGCTATATAAAGCTGCGCAGTCATGCTCCGGCCGGGAGGGGCTGAAACGGAGCAGCGCCGGCGCTGCGCGCGGGATCATGTTCAGTGGTTCATCTTTCAGCCCACCTGTCGCTGTGCCCCGGCCAAAGGGGTCAGATCCTTCCTGGCCACTGCCGTCTGCCCCACAGCTGGGCCCAGAAGGTGCCTTACAGAGGGCAGGAGAAGGCACTAGAAGGACAGGACCCATGGGGAAGGCGGGCGGCTACCAAGGTCATGGAGAGGGCCCAGGTACCTGCCAAAGGCATGGAGGCGCAGAGAAGAGGCCATAGTGTCTGGTGAGGGTGGCTGCGTCCACCTCCCGGAGAACAAGGGGGCTGCCCCCCAGCCAAGGAGGAGGCACAGGGCCCTGACCATGCCAGAGCAGGTCCAGCCCTACCTGTATCCCTCCCTATCACTTGTCACCTCCCCTCAGGCTTGCACCATGCTGCCCTCCTCCTCAGAAACTTCCCAGGTCAGAATCCAAATAAACACCTTGGTTCCCGGCTGCCCAGCCCGTGCTGCCCTGTTTCCCTCCATCCTCATGTCCCCACCCTCCACACTTCCCTGCTTCCAGGCTCCCGCCTCGGTGCCAAGGACACCCGTGCTCCCACTTGAGAGAGCGTGCCATCTGCTCCCCCAGGAGGGGCCATTATACCCCGTGGGGTGTGGGCTCTGCTTGGCCTAGACACCTGTGGGAGTGGAACCAGCGGAATGCTAAGGAGATGCCCATCCAGCTGGGCCAACACGAGCGGTCCTACTGTGGCCACCAGTGTGTGGAGGTGGCCCGGCTTCACTGGAGAGAAGCAGTAGACATGAGCACACTCCCAGGAGCAGGTCTGGGGGCTCAGGGTCAGCCCCCGCAGCACGTGAGGCTGGCTGGCTGCATTTATTAGGGCTGCTGTCACCAAGTGTCAGATTGGGGACTTAAACCTGATTTTCTTGTGGTTCTAAAGGCCAGAAGCCCAAGATCAAGGTGTTGCAGGGTTGGTTCCTTCAGAAGGAGAATCTGTTCCAGGCCCCTCTCCTGGCTTTTGGTGGTGGTCCTTGGTATTCTTCCGGCTCGTAGATGTATCACCGCATCTCTGCCCACGTCGTCTCTTCCCTTCCTGTGCGTGTCCAGATTTCCCCTTTTTGTAAGAATCCCAGTCATTGGATCAGGGTCTTCCTATTCCAGCATGACCTTATCTTGACTGATCACATCTGTGACCCCTGTATTTCCAAATAAGATCACAGTCTGGGGTTCTGGGGTTAGCACTGCCACACTGGAAGATCGGAGGGATGCGGTGCAGCCTGTAACGTGGGCGCGATCCCCCTGGGTGGTCACCCAAATCCTGAATGAGGACAGAGCCCAGATGGACGGGCGCTGGGCACAGGGGTGGAGCAGGCAGCCTGCTTACCAGCAGCCTTGTGTCACCAGGCTGGTTTGGATCCAACCAAACCAACAAATGTGTTTAACACCCTCTAGGTGCAAAGCCTTGGGCCAAATGCTGTGGAGAAGCAGGGCAGTGCCTCGGACAGACTGCCCGCCCCGACAGGTTTCCCCAGCCCTTTCCAGAGCCCCGCCTGCTGCTGCCGGGCCCGATACAGGGCGGGTGCCCAGTGGCCCTGCACTGCAGGCTCAGAGGCTCGTGCCAGCTGATCGTAACTACCTGGTCAGTATACTTCTGGCTGGTTTCCAGGAGAAAGAACTTTCCTTTGATGTGAAGATTGCCTATTCTGGTGCCGTGGAAAGTTGTGTTTGTCCTCCCAGAACCCCGGATACAGCTGCCAAGGGCGCAGCCCTTCCCGACAGTGACCCAGCTTCGGGCTAGAGACAGGCCGGTCCGCGCCAGCCTGTTGGCAACCGCAGGGATGCAGCCCCTGGTCCGTCTGACTGAGGTGGGCTGAGAGCTCGGCAGTTTGCGGCTTTGGTGTTTCCATCTGGATCAGAGAAGGGACAGGTGCCCAAAGCCCCTCCTGCCAGGCACAACAGACCCCCCGAAAGGTATTTAATGTGCTTTTTATTCTAGCGAAGACACGGGACTGTCCTCTAAACCACGGGTGTGACCTGAGGCATCCCCTTTTGGAAACCTTTGGTCAGAAGCCAGGGCTGAGCGTCTGACCAGAGGCTGTTTGCAGAACCTCCCTCTCCCACAGCCATGGAGGAGCCGAACCGGACCGATCCAGCTTGGCCCCTGACGCCCGCGGGCACTTGTGAAGTGACCTGGTTTGTAGGATGTAGGCTTCTGCCTTCTAGAGCCTTACAGCCGACTAAGACATTTATTTTATTTATTTTTTTTAAAGATTTTATTTATTTATTTGACAGAGAGATCACAAGCAGGCAGAGAGGCAGGCAGAGGGAGAGGAGGAAGCAGGCTCCCCGAGAGAGCAGAGAGCCCGATGCGGGGCTCGATCCCAGCACTCCGAGATCATGACCTGAGCCAAAGGCAGCGGCCCAACCCACTGAGCCACCCAGGCGCCCCCAACTAAGATATTTAATTAATCCAAGAAGCTTACTCTGAAAGTCCAAGGAAAAGCGGAGCCTGAGGGCCTGTTAGGAGAACAGGTGCAGGGCTATTGCCGGGTGCCCTCCTGCCGGCAGGCTTTGTGGCTGGAGGACCTCAAGGGGCTGGTAGCCTCTAAGCACCTGCAAAGAGCAGAAGAGAAGCGGGGAGGGGAGACAGAGATTTGGGATGTCCCAGGCTGCTAAGCCAGAGCTGAGCACCCCGCTAACCCGGCGGCCCTGCCAGGTCTTGGACTCTACTGCGCAGCCTCCCGGCCAACCCTGGGCCCTGGAATGTGCCCATCAGCTGCCTCTGCGAAAGGGGAAAGGTATGGGTGACTCACTCCCCTCCCGGGAGCACATGACGCCGCGGCTCTCCGTGCGCAGGACACGGCTTGGCAGATGGGTCGTAGGGTCACCCACCCCTGCCGCTGGGGCCGGGAGCACAGCCTCCCCCAGTGCGCAGCTCTGACTCTCGATGGCCTCGCTCTGTGCTGGCTTCCTCCACTGGAGGCCATGCGTCCCCCTGGGGGAGCAGCTCACATTTTGCGGGCAGGGCTACCGCCCTCCTAGGACCAAGGCGCGACACACATAAACTCTGGAGTGGAAGAGCTAGAAGCTGGCGCCGGCACCGGCCACCCGAGGACCAGGGCCGCCAAGGGGAGGAGTGGCTGAGGGCCTGACTGGTACTGCCTAGGGTGCTAACGCTGGGTCCTCCCAGCACGCTGGCTGGGTACTGCTCTCCTCCCCTGGGCTGGGGTCTGTGCCGGCCTGGAGGCCGGGCTGCCAGCGGCAGGGAGGACACGGGCAGGCACATGGAGTGAGCAGAGAACACCGAGAGGAGCCGACGGCAGCCCACCTTATGGGCGCGTCTGCACCACCGGCGCAGCCCCCACCGGCACGCGGGCATCGGAGCTGGGGGCCAGGGACTGAACGCCTGTGTGCTGCTGGGCTTCTTGGGAACTACGATCCATGCTGTCCTTGACCCAAGGTGGACCGAATGTTCGTGTGCGTTCCCTCCCAGAACATCGGCAGGCAGCCTTTCCGTCCCACCTGCTGCTGTAGACATGCTCAGAGACCAACAGATGCAAAGCCCCGGGTGCGGACGGCTGGGCGACCATCAGAGTCCTGCCAGCTGTTGTGGAACCCCTCTCCTGCTCTCAAGAGGGACCCACAGGCACCCGCACACTTCCCTGGGGTCCCAAGGAGTCACCATCGGGCTCCCACACACTGTCGGCCCCGCACCGCAGCTGGGCCCGCCATCCAGGAAAACCAGTTCTCTCAGCATGAACTCCAAGCGAGCTGAGGTTCTACTGGTCAAATCACATTTTAAAACTGGGTGATCTGCTGTTTGAACACGCGACCCTGACCAGTGTGGCTCAGTGGTGAGCAGAGCAATGCCACCGGGTCTCCCGTGCCCAAGCGCACACCGCTGGTTCCTCGTCAGACCCCCAGCGGCAGGAAGCCTTGGCGCTGGCCGGGCGGGCTACACAAGTGCCTTGTGTCCCAAGGCAGCCGGATGCCCCAGGACAGCACCAGACTCCCACCCCCATCCAAATGCAGCACCTGTGGCCGTGTGTGCTTGGCGAATGACCACCTGGGACACGCCTGTGGCTTCCGTGGATGCCCCACGCTCCGAGAAAGCTGCCCCAATGGGGAGAGGCCTAACCCCGGCCCACTCCCCGCCGCATGGAGAGCTTGTGAAGCAGAGACGAGAGGTAGTAAAATTTCAACTTTATTTGGCCAATGTATTCAATTCCAATATTGTTAGAAACGGCTGAAGAACAGCCCGCACGTGGTTCAGCTCAAGCACCCTTGGCCATTGCCCAGCCTGGAAATGGAGGGTTCTGGTTGTGCCTGCCGCAGGCCTCAGGCGGTGCTGGAAGTCACAGAGCACCGGGGCTGCCCTGGGCTCAGCCAGCATCCACCACCCCCTCCAGTCGTACAAGGCCCCTGTGACGGAGACCTAGAGTCTCCACCTAAGCCAACAACACGAGACCCACGCTCCGTCACGCGGTACCAGCAGGAGGGGAGAGGGACCCGGCCGGCCCCGGCCGGCCCCTCCCACACAGGGGACAGGAGTCTCCAGGTAGGCCCGGCCACAGTGGGACACCCTGATGTCCAAAAATGTCTCAAAATCCCACAAATGGAATTTCTTAAAGTGATAGTATAAACCCTAACAGGAAGGAGACTTCACCTGCATGAGATTCAGAGACATTTTAACAAGCACTTTGGACAGAACATGTACAAAAAAGTACATCACAATTAAAAAAAACAACAGCCCGCCACGGTGAGCTGGCCCAGAGAGAAATTCCTTTCCAAAAACTGAAAAGCACAAGTAAGAGACGGGTCTAAATTTACACGTGTTAGGATAAAGTGTTGCTTCAGAAAAATTCCCTGCATTTCCGGTCGGTGTCCCCTCCTTCCCGTGAGGGTCCTC